TCGCGATTTCCATACAAATGATGTGTTATTCACACGAAATGTATTGACATTACAAACAGTTTTCGTCAATATTTTGGTCCAAATAACACAACACATGACGAGTCGCTCATAAATTACGTGACGATTCTGTGTTTCGCTAGTTGTCTGTGCGTACAGTGTATTTGTATGACTGGAATAATGGTAAGTCTATGGGTGAATGAATATTGTGAAAGTTAGTGTGAAATGAACTTGGTGCATGTAGATTTTGTATATATGTTAAATAAATTAGTGTCAACATTGATTTAATTGCAAATTTTTATAATTAGATTGTGTTAGATCAAATTTTTGTTGTTATTTTATTAAGTTATGAATTAATACAGTAGATTGCCAATGACCCTGTTCATATTGGTTGAAATATATATAGGTAGTACAAAATTCTAAAATATTTTACTGGGTATGTTTAGTTGCATAATAGTCTATATCAAGTTTTGATAACTAGTTTATTTAATTTGTATAAATTTTTCGTTTGAAAACGATTTTATAGCAACAACTTTTTTAAAAGTTATAAATAGCCCTGATCACGTGTATGTCTAGTGTGTGTTTAAAATATTTTTAATGGTAGTTAATTTAAATTTAACTTTTTTACACATTTTGGCCATACGTTGGGTGTTAATAGTCATTCACATCCTATATGATAGCCATTACGGCACTACCGTATGATTAGTGTGTAATCCGGGTTACTTTCGTTAATGCAAATCTGATTACATGTTATTTAATAACTGCATTTCTCATATGCAAAACAATGCCATTAAGCTATAATACGAGTACCACTTCGCCAGCACATGACATACCATTCCCCTCCCATTATAATAGGCTTTTCTATGGTTTTTCGAGAAATATTTTTCTCATTTAATAATAACTTTTGATTTTGTTGTTTAAAGCCTTAAACTCCGCCAATAAATACAGTAATTATTTTTGGTGTAAAAAATCAATTTTGTCATTGAATTGGAGACACAGAGAGGTAGAGGATAGACAGCCCAGACGTATAGATCCCAGCGCTCGAAAGATAAAGACATAATACAGACTAATAATAGTAATAATGAGCCCTAAAATGGTATATAATTTTATGTGTGAAAAATGAGTCCATAATAAGTGGTCAACACAAGTCTCACCGAAAATATTAGTGACTTTTTTTTGTAGGGCTAACCGGTAATGGGTGACCAAAAAGTGAAAGTCATGTTCACATAGTTATTCGCAACTGTTTTACCCGTAATAATGATTTGAAAGTCCGGTATAGCGAGTGAAGTATAAATAATTAAGAAATAAAATATTATAATTTTTGTATTGTGTTTGGGTTTCGGTGCAAAAAAGTATTATTTAAATACTTGTAGATAAGTCTTGTGATGTTGTTTTGCAACAAAATATAATGAGAGAGAGAGAGAGAGAGAGAGAGANATTCACATCCTATATGATAGCCATTACGGCACTACCGTATGATTAGTGTGTAATCCGGGTTACTTTCGTTAATGCAAATCTGATTACATGTTATTTAATAATTGCATTTCTCATATGCAAAACAATGCCATTAAGCTATAATACGAGTACCACTTCGCCAGCACATGACATACCATTCCCCTCCCATTATAATAGGCTTTTCTATGGTTTTTCGAGAAATATTTTTCTCATTTAATAATAACTTTTGATTTTGTTGTTTAAAGCCTTAAACTCCGCCAATAAATACAGTAATTATTTTTGGTGTAAAAAATCAATTTTGTCATTGAATTGGAGACACAGAGAGAGAGAGAGAGAGAGAGAGAGAGAGTATTATGAAAAATAGTCTCTCATTATATATTCCTTAAGGGTTTGGAAAGAAATTTGGTTTTGATTTTGCATTTTAAAGGGAATTAATTAATTAAAAACAAGAAAACGACTAATTTTTAGCGAAATATATTTTTATAAACAAATCATTCAAATTATGCAATTTATTCAACACTTGTTTTTTATTAGTTTAAAATTTTTAATACTTTTTTGCCGAATAGTATTTACAAAACTCTTTTTGGACTTCAAAGCGAAAAGCTTTTGATTTTGTTTTTTAATAGTTTTTAATGAAAATTCTTTAAATAATTTATTCAATGAATCAACAGATAATTGATTGGAAATACAGGTAAACATTCAAATGAATCGATTGATTTCAATATATTCAGTATAGAAACGGTTATTTTGTGTTAAACAAAATAAAAAACTTTGTTTACTAACTATAATTACACATAAATTAAAAAATTTCAACAAAACTCGTATTTTGAATAATCATATATAAAATTATATACGAAAAGTGCAAAAATATTTATATATTTTTATACATAATATTTATATAAAAGCTAATATAAAATTTAATGTGCAAAATTTATACAACTTTTATAGAAAAATATGAAATTATGGTTTTAAATACCAATCGTTAAGAGACTCTAACCGTCGGAACAGTAGTCTGATTATCAGTCTTATCATTATCTGAAGTGAAGGCACTGTTTATGTAACCCATGATTGAGACACTTCTGAAGTTTTCGTTTCTATAAGTAACCCATTCTTGAAATATCTTGGGATTGATTGGCCCCCAGTCTGGACTCGGCTTAAACGCATTGATCACTCGCTGAATGAAACAAAAATTTTAGTGAAAAAGTTATATAAAAATAATATCAGAATTAATGAAATCTAATTCAAAGCGATTCACGGATTTTCGTTGTACTGACAATACATGTGATAGTAATTTATAATTGATTTACAAAAGAGATTGTGTCTGGAATTTATGCAAAACATATATACATTGCGTGAGTGTTGAGCAAAAAGTGAGACTTTTTTCGGTAGAGAGAGAGAGAGAGAGATCGGAATTTGGAAAATATAAAGAAATTTATGTTATTTTTCTGCTTATTTCTAATACACAAAACATCTCATGAAAAGTCGTGATAATAGTTATCCGATTATATATAAAATTGACAAAAAATTTGCGAACAAATTATGAGTTCATTACGCGATTTGTCTCAAACACCAGTATAAATGCACTGAAAAAAACGTGCAATTAATTAATTCATGCTTTAAGAATAACTAATAAAAAATTAAACTATCATCAAAAAAGTGGTTTACGTGAAAAAACTTTATTCATAAATATATAGCCAGTGAAAAAAAGTTTTCACTTTTTAATGGTTTGGAATTTAAATGATTTGAATGAAAAACAACTAAAAATATATAAATATAAATAATGAAAGCAAAAAAGTTTTTCACTCCAAAAAACAAGTAAAATTGAAAGCGATTTAAGCATTAGTTTCGAAATTAATTCAAACATTTAAACACATGTTTGGTGGGTATGTGAGCGCAAGTATGGTTAATGAATGGCATACCTGTTTCATATCACCCTTTTGTCTGTAAATTGTGATCCCTATCCACAGTGGGATCTGTATCATCGCAATGGCAGCTATAATGAAGTTATCATAAAGTTTAGTATTAATTAAAACATTTTAATTAGAATATGATAATCATACTCATAAAACACATCATAATAATAAAACTAATTAAAAAAGCACCCGTACCTAAAGCCCAGCCAATGCCAGTACCCCAGGCGGGAATGCCTGGTTTCTGACTGCCAGCCTTACCAATCTCGATGTTGCCATATATGAAGATAACCTGAATTTATAGATAAATTTTCATAAATAATTCAAATATGTCTCGCAAAAGGCTTTTGTTTTCTGTATGTGTAATACAAATGTCATATAATAGGGAAATGAATGAGCAAATGAAATGGTAATTAGCATACAATGAGAGCTACGGGTGTGGCAAAGGCCCAGGTCACTTTCCAGAATAAGCCCACACTTTGGTTGAGCATGAATTTGAGGTCAAAGCAAAACCTCTGCAGACCATAGATCCAGAAGATGCCGATTATCTGACAGATGCCGTAAAAGAATACGGCGGTTCCCACGCCATAGTTGTCCAACAGGTCCATCACATAAGTGCCAGCCTATTCGCACCGGGAGATAGACATAATACATTTATTAATATCATTGCAAATAGGGAACCCGTGAATAGGTCATCAATTTTATGATTATAAGATTTAATTTTAAAATTTGCATTAAATTTTGAAATATGCAAAACACAATCAGTTGTCATATTCTCTCTCTCTCTCTCTCTCTCTACCGAAAAAAGTCTCACTTTTTGCTCAACACTCACGCAATGTATATATGTTTTGCATAAATTCCAGACACAATCTCTTTTGTA